CCCATGTTGTTCAAGGGTCAACTGTAGTTCACTGGAATTAGTAAAAATAGTAAGCATAATTTCATTTGGTGGCCTTATGGCAGATCTAGCAACATGATACAGTTGTTCTAAGGCTCACTTTTTTTGTGTAAATAATTTGGTGGGTATTTAATTCACCAGCCACAGACTATAGAGTTTAAGTTGATGACTGTTTAGTGCTTATTATGGGTTATGGGTTCAGTTTTCTTTTGTGCCAGAAAGTGTGACTAACCAGATTGCACCTTTCTCATATCCATAGCCAACTGACTTTCAGGTAGATTGATGTTTTATACTGGTCAAAAAATTTGGTTAGTGGTTGTCGATGACTATAACTTTATACTGCTACTGGAAATGGTAAAAATGCTTCTGGGAATTGTGATTTATAAAGAACTTTTTACTGCTGTTAAGAGAGGGGCAGACTTGTCTTTAAGAATTTTTACAAAGCTACAATTGTACACGTTATTGATGTTTTGCATTGAAGAGTATTGCATGTCTTCTTAAAAAAAAAACTTAATACAATTTTGGATATAGGTCATATCCAAAGAATAGAAGATAGTTATTTATTGGATAGAAGTCAGTAACTTACTGGAAAACTGAACGTCTTTGTGCTAGGTTGCCAGGTACACATATATACGTGGGATTTGGGTTTGTTTTTTGCTTTTTATTTAAACAAAGCAACTTGTAGAGTATACAGGGACTCATCTACAGATCTATAATGTTGAGTAATGGGAAACCAAATTAACTATAACAAATTATTTTTTCCTATTATGTAAAAGTCTACAAGGGTCTGGGATGTCAGTTTTACAATCAGGAACCATCCTCAATTTACGCTTCTGTGGTCTTAGATGGCTTCTCTGGCTCCCTGATCACATTAGTCTGCTTCATAACCCATCAGGGAAGAACAAGGAAAAGAGTTGGGCATGTTCTTTCCTTTTGAAGACAGTTTCCATAAGTTACATATTCTTTGCTTATATCTTATTGACCAGGATTTAAGTCACCAGAGATAGCTGTAGGGGAGGCTGGGATGTTTTGGATAACCATGAGCCCGACTTGGGTGTGGGGATTCTATTTCTGAAGAACATTGAAACAGCAAGCAGTCTCTTAGAGAAGAAAAGGCAAATCCTAAACAAAATGCTTTCTGCTTTTGGACTGTATATTCTTCCTGTTTTGAACATTAGGCCATCAAAAATCAGAATTAAAGGTAGTAGACAGCCCTCAAGATTGATGTCAACAGTAATGTAACAAGAGTTGCTTTAAAGATCTTTATTTTGAACTCAGGATATTAAGTATCCTAAAAATGCATTTATAAAGTGATCATGATTGTAGGAAAGGTGTATTTAATTCTTGGCTACATCTCTTAACAGGCATGTCATGTTACCCAGAGAACTTTCCAAACAAGTCCCGAAAACCCATCTGATGTCTGAAGAGGAGTGGAGGAGACTTGGTGTCCAACAGAGTCTAGGCTGGGTTCATTACATGATTCATGAGCCAGGTAGGTGTTTCCATTTAGGAAAGCATCAACTGAAAAAAGTAGTGGTTGTGGTTTTTGAAAATTGTTAAGTAATATTGACATTCAGTGGTATTCCCAAAGTAACCGTGGTAAGTTTGACTATTCTCGGATGGCTGATTCCTTTCTTCCCTAGGAAGAATTCCAATTTTGTAGTAAATAATACCACATGAGTGAAAGTAATGCATTATTCTACCTGCAGAAAGGTAAGGAGTTAAAATCAATTCCATTTTATGTTAAAACGTGTCATTATTAATATTTTGCTGTAAGCCTAATTCTGGTGTTCTGTCTCTGAACACTGAGAACTCATTTTAAGACATCTTAAGTGTCCTTAAGTTCTTAGCGTAGAAGTTAATGCAATTTGAAGTGATTTGTCTTTTCTTTTAATATTCTGTTAAAAGATAATTGGGATCTACCACATTAAGGTGAAATAAGGTAACCTAGTGAGTGAACCTTGTGTTATGTTATGAGTGGTTATATTATTGTGTGGATTTTACCAGAGCTTCCCAGATACGAAATGGTAAACTAAAACTTGGGGGGTTAAATTCTGCTTTTGCATTATCAGTAAATAGATCTAACTTAAACAATTTATAATGCTTTGAGCAAAATTTGAGGGCATGCTAAAGAAACCGAATTAGGTGGAACTAGAGCTTGTTTTCTGCTCTTGTTAAAGAAAAGCAGCAATAGCATCAGAATGTGACTTAAAACTTTCTTGGGATTGGGGGCATTTAATTGTATCAGGGTTCAAAAGCTCTTTCTCCAGCTAATACCAGAGCACAGGAGGAACTTAACTCTAGAATCCTGGGCTCCCACCTAATGAAACAATCTTTGGGAATGGGCCCCTGGGATCTGCACTTTTTACGGGCTGGTGGTTTTTGAATTTGGTGTTAGGTGTCTTTCCTTTTCACTGGAATTGAGATTCTAAAGGTAGAAACCATTCTCCCCGAAGTGGCTTCTCTTCTTAGCATCTTTTTCCAGGGTAGGTGAAACTAAATAAAACACTGGCATACTGGGGAATGTCATCATCAGGTGGTTTTCTTCTGTTTATAGTTGACTGACTTTTTTTTTTTATTATTTTTTTTTTATTGTTATGTTAACCACCATACATTACATCATTAGTTTGTGATGCAGTGTTCCATGATTCATTGTTTGTGCATAACACCCAGTGCTCCCCACAGAATGTGCCCTCTTTAATACCCATCACCAGGCTAACCCATCCCCCCACCCCCCTCCCCTCTAGAACCCTCAGTTTGTTTTTCAGAGTCCATTGTCTCTAATGGTTCATCTCCCCATCCGACTTACTCCCCTTCATTCTTCCCCTATCTTCTTCTTCTTTTTTTTCCTTAACATACATTGCATTATTTGTTTCAGAAGTACAGATCTGTGATTCATCAGTCTTGTACAATTCACAGTGCTCACCATAGCACATCCCCTCCCCATGTCTATCAGCCAGCCACCCAATCCCTCCCACCCCCCACCACTCCAGCAACCCTCAGTTTGTTTCCTGAGATTAAGAATTCCTCATATCAGTGAGGTCATATACATGTCTTTCTCTGACTTATTTCACTCAGCATAACACCCTCCAGTTCCATCCACGTCGTTGCAAATGGCAAGATCTCATTCCTTTTGATGGCTGCATAATATTCCATTGTGTATATATACCACATCTTCTTTATGTTGACAGTGACTTTTGAAGCAAAATTTATTTCAGATATTTCTATTAAATGACGGTTGATCATAGATTTATTTTGGTTTAATTGAGAATTTGGAATTTTGGTTGAATGACTGAAAGTTAACCATATTGTATTAAAATGATATAAAATATTTTGTTTCCACAGAACCACATATTCTTCTCTTTAGACGACCTCTTCCAAAAGAGCAACAAAAATGAAGTCTATCTGGGGATCGTCAATTAAATCTTTTTCAAATTTAATGTATATGTGTATATAAGGTAGTATTCAGTGAATACTTGAAAAATGTACAAATTGTTGATCCATACCTGTGCATGAGCTGTATTCTTCACAGCAACAGAGCTCAGTAAATGCAACTGCAAATAGGTTACTGTAAGGTGTTTAAGATAGAATTTCTTCTAGTTGGTTTTTCTCTTAATATAAGTGCCTGTTTGACTTTACCTGTTACTTTTGTTAAATAAAGTTTGTATGTTGCATTTATCATTGAAGTTTTTGGGGGTTTATTTTCTTAAGGTTCACTTGTGTCTGTCGAGGTTGTTAGATGATTTCAGTTCTACAATTTTGGTCTGGAGGAAATAAATTTAAAGAAATAGTTTTAAATGGGTTAGAATAGCTTGGTTTGGGGAGGGTATGACTTAATTCACTTATGAAGAAACAGTTTAATGGAAACAGAGTTCATAACTATTGCTAGTTTAGTTCCTGGAGACTTGTGCAGTTGTGTCTAAGGACTGCCACATCTAATGGCCTTGAGGGAAACCACTTACCCTGTTTCTGTTTTACTCCATGTGCCAAGTAGGGGTAATGTTTCCTATAAAACAGCACAGCATTTTTTAAAATGTAAAACACCATTCCATACATAGTTTGTGTTTGTCTGTAAATTGTCTTTTTAGCTGCTAAAGAAATATTCCTGAGTTAATGCAGACATAGACTATCTCATCTGCTGTGCTGGGGAAAACTTTGAAGTGAGCTGCCAGTAAACACCCGAGTCTGGTGGTCCTCTGTATACTCCTCTCCTGAGAAAGGGGTGTCTTTATACAGAAATAGGACAGGAAACGCTACAGGTGGTGCTGAACAGCAGCCCAGAACTTACTTTTGCCCCAGGGACCCATCCCCTACAAGTCCCGGGCTAGCACGCCAGGAAGACTCAGGGATTGCTAAGTAAAGGGAGCCGTGACCCCGCGGCAGCCCCCGACAAGGTAACCGCCGCACGCCAGGCCTGTCGGGTGTGTTTAGGCATGTTTAACCCACCTGCGGGTCCCACGCAAGAACACCTGGGGTGGGGTGGGGGGGGGCTGGGCGCTGCCTGCATTTGCTGCTTTGAGTAGTACCTAGTAATGAAAGAACCAGGCCTCCCTGCGGGGGCAATGCTCACATTACCAGCCCGTGTACCTAACCTAGCTCCCGGGGCCCCGTGCTCCCGCGAACCCACCCCTGTCCAGCCCCCGCCCAGCCGCACCGCTGTTCACAGTAGCTGAAAGGGGCTGAGCAGTCTGGGAATTCTCTTTCGTGTTTACTGCCCAGTGCTCCAGCCCCTGGCAGTTGACTGTACCAAGTCCTCCCGGCCTCCTGGGCCTGGAGCCCATGTCCTTCGCTTCGGGTGCTCCCGGCTACACTGCATCCCCGGCCTGACCGCCGCCTCTTCCGACGCGAAGGCTGCAGTCGCTACGCCGGGCCACGACCGTCAGCGCGCGCACTTCCGGCCGGAAGTAGGGGGACGCGGGGCGGGCCGAGGCGCGTTTCTGTGACGCACTTCCTGGCGTCAGTTCGAAGACGGAAAAGCGGTGAGTCGGCACGCCGCGCGACTGTGCCGCCAGCCGACGGGGCGGCTGCTGGCCTCCCGGGCCAGGCCTCCTCCGAGCCGCGCATCATGGCGTCGGAGGGGCCTCGGGAGCCCGTGGGCGAGGTGAGGACGGCGTCCCGGAGTGGGGGCGGGCGTCGGGGCGGAGGCGGGCGGGGGCAGCGCGGGGCGTCGGGGCGGCCGCGGTTAGCCGGGGGAGGCCGCGGGCGCCGGGAGTGCGCCCCCACGCCGGCTCGCCGCACTCGCGTCTGGGAGCTCCGGCAAACGTTGGCCGAAGCGCTGGCCTCCGCTCGGCCTGTTCGGCAGCACCGCTAGATGGAGCCCTGGCGGCCGCACCAATCGGCCTTCGAATGGTTTCTAAAAGCGTCAGTCTCCCAGTGCGGCCCTGAAGACCAGAAGACCAGATTTTACGTTCAAATCCCAAGGCTCTGTGACAGTAGAATGTCCTTCTAGCCGGGCTCGCTTTTGCTTTTCAACAAAACAACTCTTAGTGGTTCGCTGAGCGACAAGCAAAGGATTTATGTAACTTTTCTTTTTTGAGAAATTTGATGGAAATAAACTTCCGCAGTGCGTTTGAGTCAGCCATTCCGCGGCTGGGTTTGCCCACGGCAGTTTTCGGTTCTCGGTTATCCGTAACGACAGCGGGGAGGGTGACACACCTGTACTGCAGGTTAAGGCTGAGGGAACTTTGTAAGTTGTCCTGATTCTTTCACCTGGATTGGATTTTATTTCCACTTTCATTGCTTGCTCCCCCCCTTTAATATTTAGTAGACCACTTCTTTTAGTAAAAAACCATTGGGGGAGAGGTTGTTAGCAAACAGATTCTCGGTTTTTTGAGGTTGAAGTATTTGAACAACAGACACTCCTGCGACTGGCATTTCTGGGACTGCTAGAACCCAGCGACTTTCCTTGGGTTTTTTGTTCACATTTGCTTTACCTCCAAATGTAGGTAGTCACCCTCCTCCCCCCACTTTTTTCCTCAGGGCGTCAAGTTGTCAGCAGATGTCAAACCATTTGTCCCCAAATTTGCTGGGCTCAGTGTGGCATGGTCAGAGTCTTCGGAAGCACGTGTGTTCCCTAGCTGTGCAGCCACCTACTATCCGTGTGTTCAGGAGCTTCCTGTGCCTCAGTATGTATCCTTCTCAATATCTTGCCTTCCCTGGGGACTGAATGGGGATTACACTTTCAAGTATGCTGCACCTAACATAGTCAGTGTTCTCAGTACGACCAGAGGATAGGATGCTCCTCAGCCGAGAATGGCCTGAGGCAGTGGCACAACTTAACCGTGCCCTACGCCAAAAACGGAAACCTCAACTCTCCATACTCACGCAGTTATTTTGGGCAAAGAAGGTGTGGAGGTTGCATTGCATTCACTAGTTTCAGGGTTCATTTTTGCATGGGGTCTGAAACTATCACATGTCTAACGGGAGATGAGGTGGCTGGGGGTGTAGGGAGATGAGGTGGCTGGGGGTGTAGAGAGGAAACAGGGCAAAGACAAGTCCAGAGAAATCAGCGTGCTCTGTGGTTGTAGGGTGCAACATTGTAAAATCTTGCTTGGGGAAGGGGAAGGAGTGGGGGCTTGCAACCATGGCTGCTCTTTTGTTGGATAGTTCTTTGGAAATTGCTGAGGTTTGCATTCCACTATTTTTCTTTAGAAATGTCCTGTGGAGTTGGATTCTAGAAGCTTTGGTTATAAAATTCTTCTAAGTTTGAATTGAGAGAAGGCTTATGTTGGTTTTTCAATTTTCCTTTTTCTTCTCAAGTTTCATTCTTTAGGTATTTATACAGTGGTTTGCGTTAATAGCTGAATTTAGAAAAACGTGCGTTAAACTTTTTATGTAATTGTGTAGAGTACTTGTAGACTTTTTAAAGGTATGCATCACCTTTATGCTTATGTAAGAATCCTTGTCTTTATGTTCCGTCCATGTGGGTCATTCTTGTTTCTTTTTCATGCCTGCTTAGTGTTGATTGCATACTTCATATAAATTCTAGATTTGCATTCACAAGAATGAAATTTGAAATGAATAATGAAACCATCGAGTTGTTTGGCGTACATAGGTTGTATTTTTTGACAAAGTTGAAGTTCTGCTTGTATGTGCTTTGCTAGGATTACTGAAGTTTTCCACTGAGATTTCATCCTTTGTTAAAGGAAAGTTGGCGTGGGTTTCATTTGGGTTGTTCCCTACCTTGGGTGGTTCACAAAGTAAAGTCTAAAATATATTTCACTCAGTGACAAGGATCTGAAGCCATCTGCTGGGTGGGATTCCAGTTACCCAAAATAAAGGTGGAAAACATTGTTACAGCTAAAGTAATGTTCTGGAAGTAGCATGAATCGAGAAGAATCAGAAGCTTAAGGATGCGCACTGCTGAATTTAAAAATTAGGTTTCTTAACCTCTTACCCTTTTTTAGCTTTGATTTAAAAAATAATTACTTATAACCAAGGAAAAGATTGGGTGACAATATTCCTGCCTGATGAGAAAACAATTAAGGACAAAAGAGGCGTGAGAGCAGAGGGGCAGGGTTAGGAAGGACAGGAAGGAGCTTTTGAAGGGGGCAAAACGGGGATACTTTACATATTTGAGAACCCATTACCTGGTACATTCTGAGGGAGGCTAAGAAGTCTGCTTGAGCCAGGTTTCTTGTAAATGGCTATCTCTGCGATGAAAAAATGGAGTAAGGAACCTACGTTGTCTTTCCTGCCTGTCCCACTGCCTGTCTCAGTCCATGAGGTTGGCGGGAGGTGTCATGTTATTTTTACACCTGAGAAACTGGGGCTGGAAACGTGTGTTCAGAGTCATTCAGGTAGGCAGCGCCCGAAGCAGAATGACCGTCCTTTCTTCTGACCTGCACTCAGTCGAACTCCCCACAGCTGCTGCCACTGCTGGCGACAACTGCTGAGCATTTCATCGTGTTGCAGTCCGCTGTCAGCTGTGGGCGCTTCTGAGTGGAAGTCTCAGCTGTGAGACCTAGTAGTTCTGGACGGAGTGTGGCTCCCGTCTGTTCGGTGGCTGGAGGAGCTGCTGGAGCCTGACACGTCCTGGCCTGACGGCAGGGACTGGTGCGAGACTACTGGGGCAACTGTCAAGGACGAAGGACCAGGTGAAGTGCTTGGGGGAGCCCGCACGGTACAGCCGCAAAGACCAGGTGTGCTGGGTAGGAGGTAGGGCACTGCTGGTCGTGTCTTACACGGAGTTGGAACGCTTACTCCTGGATTCTCGTCCAGCTTGAAGGGAGAGGGGCACAAAGCCTCAGACTGGGTTCCAGGCACTGAAACTTGGGAAGAAATACATGGAGCCCTGCTGCCAGGAGAAAGGCTCCCGGGTGGTCCTGTAGGTGTTGGCAGGAGAAGGCTGTGGTGGTTTCTGGCTGAGTACGTGCAGAGTGGGGGGTGGGAAGAGGGGCCGTTTGGGGACCAGCAGCTCAGCTTGGACTCCAGGACCGGTTAGGGAAGAGTGAGCTGTTGTGTGGGAACCACCTGTGGGTTGGAGAGCGAGGCCCGGAGCTGGCGAAGGTGCCCGACTGCAAGTACGTATGTGAAGTCTGAGCAGAATGAGGGGAGGTTTGGACTCTGAGTCTGACTGGAGAGAAGGGAAGTGCCGAGGAGGGCCCTCCACGGATGAGCCTTTGGAAGGTGGGACCGGGTTGCAAGTCCAGGCTGGTGGAGCTTTTCAGGTGATCTGACAGAAGGGCCAGACCCACAGGTGCCGTGGCGAGGAGGCGACTGGGCTTGCAGGAAGGGTGTCCTGGAGACTCGGGATGGTTGGTAGGGATGGGGCAGGGGAAGTGGACACAGAGGTCAGTGGGTGTTGTGCTTACGGGGGAAGGCAGGGTGGCCTAGCTGCCGCAGTGCTGCTAATATACACGCAGGGGTGGGTGGAAGGTGGGCGTATGGGCGTGCGTGCTGGGCCGGGGGTCGTCTGCGCAGTTTGTGGCAACTGGAATTTTACAGACAAGCTGCTTGAAGCCCCAACAGATGCTGTGGGTTGTTGCCGTGAGCTTTTACTGGGTGTTGTTCTCTGCATATAATTGTATTGGCCTTGAATAGAAAGCAAAAAACCAACTTCCCAGAGGAAGAAAGACCAGTGAGGACTTGTCCAAAGTGGAAAACTAGATTTTTGTATTGAGCCAGGACCCAGACCGAGGGCTCTGGGTTCATGGATGCAGGGTTGCTGGATGACGCGCCTTCACAACTGCTGGACCCTGCCTCCCTTTACCTAAGTTTCATTGGTCTGTTAGTTTATCTGGTTTTTGGACTTGGGATATCATCTTTTTTACTATGTTTTGCTATCAGCCCCTCTTTGTCCACCTCCCTTGTGAAGAACAGATCCTCCCACTCCTTAGATTTTCTGAGCTTCCAGTAAAACAGGGATTCGCATCTGAGAATAGGATGATGCTTTAAATCATTTTCTTCTCTGCAAAGAACAGCACTAGGCCAGGTGTACTGAAAAAAGTATAGTAAAAAGGGTTTTTCTTGGGTTTTTATTAGGAATAGTTCATTACTAGAGTTAGTGAATGATCTTCCTGGGTGTGAACTTACTGTAAAATATCGTGGGCTCTGAGACACCAATAGCATGCTGTCCGGTTAGGTACCGCATGCACGTGGATGCAGGGAACATTCTGGCAAGTATGTTTCAGGTGTGGGTGGTGATGCCTTTGTCCTGCAGTGCATGCCCTTCCTTGCCCCAGAGCAGAAATACTATGTATTTAAGAGTGCTGCCTGTGCCTGTACCCACTGGCGACCCAGCCGTGAGAAGATCGTGCAGGATGTCTCCTCATTAGCTCTGATGTTCCTGCCTTTCAATGGTCCAGCACCCTTTGGGATTCCGTTGATTTTCTACAAAAAGATTTTCAGCTCTGGGAAGTCACAGAAACATCTGCTGGTGCTCACTTATGGGAATGAGAAGGGTGTGTTTTGTGTCTTAGTTCATCTGCTCAGCCATTTCACCATTGTGTCGTCCTTCATTGCTAGAGGATTGAAGCCTCTGACTGAATACCAAATTTACTCACAAAATCAGTGTTCAGTTATATTTTGGTTTAGCCTAGCAGCTTGAGCAAACGGGGGCATGACGGTGTCCACAGATGGCACCTGTCTCGCTGGTGGGTTGCAGCTCCCAGGCCACCATGGGCGCAGTGTCCCCTTTGCAGCTGTGGCCCTGTGAGGCCCAAAGCACAGGATGTGGTGGTCGGGCTGGAGGTCGGATGAGCCGGTGGGGGCTCTGCAGGGAGCCCCCTCCGCAGGGAGAATGGTCTGGGGTGGCCCTTTAGGCCCTAGGTGGCTGTGGGAGGCTTTTGCGAACGTCTGACAGTGTGGGAGCGCAGAGCTGCTGAGGCGTCCCTGGGCTTTGCTGCTGCACGTTGTGACACTGTCCAGCTCAGTAGTGAGCACGCAGCACCGGGCAAGAAAGAAACGCTGCGAGTGTTTATTCTACTATTAGAGATATCTCAGTGTCAGAGCGAATGACCTGAAGATAATAAAGAGTTTAAATGTGCTTATTATAGAATAGGTCCTTGGTTTGTGGTATGAAATTTTCAAGTAAAACATATCTTTCTTATTTAGGCAGAAGCTCTATGCTGAAGATGTGGCCTTCGGAGCTTCACCTTTCCCACCTCAGTATTTATCTTCTGAGCTTGCTCTTCATCCGTGCCGTTACTCTCCTTACCCCGTGGAGGGCTCACAGAGCGGCTGCCCAGTGCCCGGCTCCCAGTATGCTTGTGGCCGCCCCAGCGCGTACCGAGGTTTTCAGACCGTAAAGCCGCGAGGCGAACAGATGTGCCCTCTCCCACAAGACTCAAAAGCTTTGTTTAAGGTTAGCACGCTGCTGTGGTGGTGGTTACTGTAGTGTTTAAAATGGAAAGAGCCGGTAGGTTCTCACATGGTATTTAAGTATTTTTTATCTTTTTTGTGCATTTAAGAATTGATTTTTCTTTATTCTTTTTTGAAATGGTGTGAATCCTTATGGTTTTGCAATTTTAAGCCTTTTTTTATGGTGCTAGTTTTCTTTAATTCATGTGACTTTTTAATTTTTCCTGCAGAAAAAAACATATGAGCAAAAGTTTGACAGCAAGAAGGCTGATGGATCTCTGTCCTCTGATATAAAATCAGTTAGAGGTTCACATCCTATGTCCATTCACGCTGACGCTAACTTGAAACCAGGTGAAAATGACAGACTCTCTGATGTTATATTGTCCTTCCCGGCCCGCCCCAGAAAGGTCACTGTTCTTTGTACACCTGTTTCTGTGGAGGCCATTGGACTCCAAGGGGATCCTGGAGGCCTCTCCACCTGGGGAGGGACCTGTTGGGGGGGGGGCTCTCTGGTGTGCCCTAGTGTGTGCAGGAATCGGCCCAAAGTCACGTGGCAAGTAGGTGACCCGCACAGGCCTCAAAACACGTCCTTAAGTAAATCACAGCCGCATCCTTTGTACTGTATTTGACCATGTTCATTCCTGAAATAGCTTCTCTGGTGTTCTGTTGGGACACTTTTTAATAGGTGGAGAGTTTGTCTGCAGTTTGAATTCCATCCTGAGCAATAGCAAACCTGGGGCAGTGTAGTTAGTTGGGGGACATGTCTGCTCTGGCCTTGGAAACCACTGTTCCGGGCTATGGCTGAAAGCTAGTGATTCTGTGTGGTGTAAATTACGGACTAGTGCAGTTTGATGGCTTATTTATAAAAAGAGCTAAAACCTTTGTAATCGTGTATTTACTGGGAATGACCAATTGACGTGCATAACTTACATTACTTGTTACATAAGTTTTTCTCTTTGTGTTGACTTCACTCAGAAACCATTTGGCACATGGAAGTTTGCAGGGGAAGTTGAACAGTTAACCGTCATGATTGGCTTCATGGCCTTACAGCCCACATCAGGATTCATTTGTATTTGAACGAAGGGATGCGGAAGAGAGTCGAAGTTTACTTCTACTTGCTTTCTTCCAAAGTTCCTCTCAAGTGTGGAAGATTTATCCCTGAAAAGAAATTTGTTGGCATCTCTGTAAATTTGCAGAACTCTACAGCATATATTAAGAATAATTAGGTCAGGTTGCAGTAACTAGTTTATCAACTTTAGAATTATGCCTCAAATTTGCAGCACGCCTTGCATTTTTCTTCCTGGTGGCCCACCCAGAGCAGCCGGTGCTTGTGGTCATTTCTCTTTTGCACGTCACACAGCTTGGCAACACTAGCAGAGGGGAGGGCATTCAGACAGTCCCGTGTTAGCGTGTCAGCAGCGATAGATTTCCCGCCCTGCGGGTGAGGTATGAATATGGGTCTTCACACAATACCTACCCTTTCACCCCTTTTGATTCTGTAAATACAGATGGTTACCAGAAACGGACAGACAGGAAATCCAGAATCGTTGAAAAAAGTGGATCTGCCTCCAAACCTGAGTTTGAATTTACCAGGTTGGACTTTCCCGAACTGCAGGGTCCGGAGCACAGTGAGAGCTCAGAGACAGAGAAGCAGTCCAAGTGGGGGCCTCTGCGCTCCGCCGCAGCTGACCTGTCTCTTCTCCGAGAGGTGGTGAAACCCGCCGTGGTGACAGCGGAGGTGAGTGTGGGGCCTCCTCTCTGTGTCCCTCCTCCTCTTCTCTCCCTCCCTTCTCCCTGCACACCTTTGCAGGTGCCTCACGGCGCACTTCGTCTTCCTATGGGGGCCTGGCTTCCTTGTGAGGACCTTCTTCCAGCCTGGTGTGGTCCCTAGTACAGCTGTTCCTTTAAAAGAATCTCCTAACGAGCTTCCTCGTGCTTTCTAGCTACAGGGGACGGAGGTCAGATCCCGGCACGGGTCCCGCTGCGTAGACAGCCCCTGGTGATCACCTCACTCCCAGCATTGCATTCCGACAGCACGTTTACCAGCACAGATTGTTTTAATCCAACAGTAATAGGTCAAACTGCATAGGGTAGCCTCTGACTTTTCCAGGCTTTTTATCCGTACCTCTCTCATTGATGAGATCACAACCTCAGCAGAAGTAATCACTGTGTGTTTTGTGTGCCACTTCATGATTTTAAAATATGCTGTGTTCCACATTTGGTCTTGGAGTTTTAGTCCATCCAGGTTCCAGGAAAAAACATGAGGTTAGTAGTCCCTAAGGTGGCTTCTCACTAAGTTCTGCCGAGGGGGGGTAGGGCAAGGAGAGGGAGGAGACAAGGAAGGAGGCAGCTCCCCCATCCACCGACCTCTTGAATGGAGTGGGGACTCTGCTTCCTTGAATGCACTTGGGCGCCTGGACACTGCCGTCCAGAGGTGGGCAGGGTGGCTGGCCTTGTGCACCAGGTAGCCCGTTCCACACGCGGTGACCCTGACGCTGTGTGCCACGGTGCTTCCCTGCGGCTTAACCGTGACGAGGAAGGCAGGCTGGCCAGCTGGCATAGAAGAATCTGGTTTGGCAACTGTGGGACCCTTTGGTCCCGGCTGGGTATGTGGAGTAGCTGAGCCATTGAGGGGCTCCACGTCTGCCTCCCTGGTGGTCAGTGCATAACCCAAGCCTGTGAGCGCTCTATGGAAGTAGGACAGGCCACCAGGGAGCTATGGCGGGGTGTGACCGACCCGTTCTATCACGTTACTGGACACACACGTGCGTCTGGACACAAAGTGAGGCACGTGGCGCTGTGAGGAGGGGTACAGACTCCTTGCCTGAGGATGTGTTCACACTCCTGAGTTACATGTGGACTTTTAATTTTTTCTTCTAGAAGAAACTTTTCTCCTTATTATCTTAGTAGTAGTTTTAAACATGAGAAATATTTAAAAGAAAACAGTTGACCTTGAACAACACAGGTTTGAACTGCATTAGATGTGGATGTTTTTGATAAACACAGGACAGTACTGTAAACGTATCTTCTCTTCCTTTTGATTCTCTTTATGACGTTTTCTTTTCTTTAGCTTACTGTAGTGATAAGATATAGTATATAACACATATTACATGCAATATGCATGTTCACTGTTTATGTGATCGGTCAGGGTTCGGGTCAATAGTAGGCTGTTAGTAGTTGTTTTGGGGGGTTCAGAAGTTCCATGTGGAGTTTTGGCTCTCCAGGGGTCAGCACCCCAACCCCCCTGTTGCTCAAGGGTCACCTGTAATTGTCTGAAGTTGTACAAGAGAAAACCATGTTAAGCACTTAAATCTTTTTTTAATGGTCCATTGTGGGGATTGAGGGGATTCCCCTCAGTTTGAAGTTATGCATATGTATGACTTTGTGTTTGAGTTTTTAAAATTTTTGGTATTTTTCCATGTCATTGAGTAGTTTTTGAAAGCCTGTTGTACTGCATCTTTATGGATATGTGTAATTTATGTAACTGTTCTTGGACAGGTAAGCCATGGTGAGCGTGTAAGTTTTATTTATTAAAAGAGGGGCTGTGTTTCAATAATTTTATTTTTTGTTACTGGGCTCAGGTTTAATGAAATGGCAAAGTGGGAAAAGTTTGAAGGATATGAGCTTTAGAATCTAAGTCCATTCAGATTTGAATGGATCAGTTTCCTTTTGCAGTGAATGCCCTGGTCACCCTGAGGTCACCCTGTGTCCTCACCCACTCCCGTGTCATTTGCTGCCTCATGTTCTGTGAATGTTTGTTGGCTCTGTGGACTTTCCTGATGGATTTTTTGGAACTTCGGTGCGTGGGCATGGTGAACAGTGCCCCCCCCGCAGGGGCCCTGCTGCCTCAAGTGGCGGGGGCACATCTGTGCTGATGCAGAACTTGTCTGTCATGTACTGATCTTTCATAGGTGACGGGGTATGCGTGCTGTGATCCTCTTAGTGGGGCCGTGTAGGAACAACACGCAGGTGTTTCTGCCGGGGGACACTGCAGGCTCAGCTGAACACCGTGGGTGGTTTCTCCTATAAGGAGTGAAATTTGGTATTACGTATGTTTTTACTTTTTTTTTTTTTTGTAGAGAGAGCTGGAGGGAAGGGGGTGTGGCGGGAGGGGCAGAAGGAGAAGGAGAGAGAGAACCCTAAGCAGGCTCCACCCTCAGTGCGGAGCCCAGTGCGGGGCTCAGTCTCACGACCCCGAGATCCTGACCTGAGCCAAAATGAAGAGTCGGATGCTCAACGGACTGAGTCACCCAGGCGCCCCTGGAATTTTTAATTAGCATATATTTTGGAGATTTTATGAATGGCAAGAGAAACTATATTTAAAAATTAAGTGATTACTTTCAATTTGAAATAGTAAGAAGATGCTGGTTTGCTTTTTAGGGTGAAGGGGTGGTGAGAAGCACAGACGCAGCAGAGACCATGACTGGCAGCGCTGTGGCTGATCCCGCCTCCTGTACCAGAGGTAAGAGGTGCTGCCGCAGCCTTAACATACCGGTGCCCTGTTTTCCAAGTTCACTTTTAGTTCAGTGCAACAGAAATGTTTTTGTTTTAAAGCCTTCCTTAAGACAGCTGATGGGTTATGAACAAACTGATCTCACTGTGAGAAGCTGGAAGTAAGTACACAGGATCCCCCATCAGTGTGCAAGGAGTGTAAAGTAGGAGCAAAGAATTCTAAATGAAATGTGTCTAGTTTGTCCAGTTAAGGGAGAAATTTTATGAACTCAGAAATGACTGCTTCCTTAAGTACAGCCTACACCAGTGGTTCTCAAAGTTTTAGGTATCAGGGCCCCTTAACACCCTTTAAAAAGCCCCAGAGAGCTTCTGTTTATTTGCATGATAGTGATCAGTACTTGAAATAACCAAAGTTAAAACTGAGAAATTCTAAAAATTACTTTGTAATTCTCATACAAGTAACAATGATAAACCCATTACCTGTTAACATAGTGTGTATTTTTTTTTTTTAAGATTTATTTATTTGAGAGAGAGGGAAAGAGAGGCAGAGGGAGAGAGAATCTCAAGCAGACTCCCTGCTGAGCGCAGAGTCCGACATGGGGCTCGATCCCAGGACCCTGAGAGCGTGACCTGAGCTGAAGTCAAGAGTTAGACGCTCAACTGACTGAGCCACCCAGGTGCCCCAGCATAGCATATTTTTATGAAAAATAACTTTCCAAAGTTAGATTGTAATGAGGTGAGCAGCCTTGTTTTACATTTTTGCAATGCTTTACCGACCAGCTCAGTAGCGCAGCCTCAGCATGCAGTGGTTTCACTGTCCCGCGTCATGTAGCCTCCTGAAAACTTCGCTGGACACTCAGGACAGAGCGCAGGGAGGCTCAGCGCCCATTCCTTCCGTCAGGAAAATGGTTTTGATGCTTTGGACCCCTCAAAGTGTCTTGGGAGCTTCAGAGCATTATTAGAGATCTGGCCTCAATGTCCCAGAAGTGACATCCTCAGAGAGAGTTCAGTAATTCTGCCTTTAATTTTTCTGAGTAGCTTCTCCTAACAAGACATTTTTACAAAATTATTCCAGTTGTATTCACAAGTGTGTTTTCTTTTGCATTCTCACGTGTGGTAAATGTGTGTTCAGTAAAAACCTTCACTTACAAGCTGACTTGGATGGTGTGTAGCTCTGGTACAAAAGCAGCCTGTCTGGCTTGGGGGGATGCACCGGCTGCCCACGGTCAGCCCGGGTCCTCCTCTGTTTGTGGACACCTAAGGAGTAACGTTGCTGTAGTTAGTTAGGCCTGAGATCTAAAAAGAAAGAAATTACCACTTGCTGTGGTAGCTGAGGTACATGATTTTTGACTTACGGTGTTAATGGTACATAATAAGATGTGTTAGGCCAAAATTTGATCTTTGCCCTATTAATTTTTGTGTGTTTGCCACGTGGACTTAATTGTGGATTATTATTTTTTAACTAAAACTATAGTTCGTCTGCCCACCTGCACCCCCAAGTTAAAAAACCAGTTGCTAGGAAAATCGTGCAGCCTACAAGTTAATTCTGCATGCGTGTTCCAAGAAGAAAGCTTAGCAAATGCTCGTTTCCAAGAGAATGTTTTGAGCACCAGTCTAAATTTATGTTCTGAGTAATGACCTCATGTAATACATGTTTAGAATTTCTTAAGTATTTTTATTTTACTGTTGAGATTGTTCAACAACTTTGGTTATCTTTGAGCAGAGTTATCTTGGACACCAATGGGTTATGTTGTTCGGCAGACATTATCTACAGAACAGTCAGCAGCCCCTAAAAACGTTACTTCCATGATAAACCTAGAGATGGTCGCTTCGTCAACAGACTCAAAAAGCGTTAGTATGTCACCTTCTGAAGTTTTATCTTCGGATCCTTCCTACAAAGAGAAACACATCCACTCTGCTAAAAAGGTATGTGTCACGTTTGGATCATGTTGATCTTCTGTGCCACTGAATAGTCTTTTTTTCTCAGATCCTAGCAAAGTGTTTGATTCTGTGCTGTAGTCACTAATTTGAGTTGGTTGCATAGAACCTCAGTCAAGGAACACAAGTGGTAGCTTTTTGAGTAAGGGACGATGTAGATTTTACACCCATGGTCTTACAACATTTGTGAACCATTTTGAAGTCTTTAAAGAAGAAATACTGGCAGAAGTTCATGCTCTGGTGTATAAAGTCCTGCCTTTTTCCCCCCTTGTCTTTCATCTGTTGAATTTAAATTGCTTTTACCTACTAGGGTAAGGACAGCAAGACAACTGAATTCCACCTTTTGTGGTCATCTGGTATATGTTACTGATTCTGGGTTAGTTGTAGCTTATCGTAAGATAGCATTTCAGAATCCATTTTTCCCTTTCAGTTCAATTAATTTTAAGCTGTCATTTTCATCAGTCCCTAGATTTATTTCTCCACAAGCCTTCTTTATTGGTCTAAATTTTGTTCTTGATTTTCATTGTGTATTGATACATTATTTTAGGTGGAAGTATGGCCGTGTTTGTTGAGTGCAGTGATGTCCTTTTTGAGTAAGAGGACATTTTCTGTTACCCAGAGTGTCATAGACCACCCCCCACAAACGGGAGCTGTGTGTTGACGGTCTGTTGATGGAGGGAAAGTGTGCTGACAGTTACGGCGAGGTCAGACCTGTATGCTTGTCCTCACAGCTTTATGAACAATGTGAAGGACACCGGAGGTGCGGGCGAGTCCCTCTCTGAGTACACGCGGCGCCACCAGCTGTGGGCATGTGGGCCCAGGTGACAGAGCAGGCCTCAGGCTGGGGCCGCCCCTCAGCTGCCGTCTGGCTGTCTGAACCAGAGTTCCTCATGCACCGTTAAGATTCTCAGAGTTAATATTAACGTTTTTATTTTCTTAGAACCTTTTTTTTTTTTTTAAAAGATTCCATTTATTTATTTATTTGAGAGAGAGACAGCAGGAGCGGGGAGGAGAGGGAGAAGCAGGCTCCCTGCCCGACTCAGGGCTCAGTCCCAGGATCATGACCTGAGCCGAAGGCAGACACTTAACCAACTGAGCCACCCAGGCGCCCCTAAAATTATTTTTTAATTATAAGTGTAAGAAAAGTTTATTTTAGACAAGTTCTAAGATAAAGACAGAATTGCCTGTAGTCTCACAACCCAGAGGACATGATCTCCTGTGTAACGGAGGTGGTAGGATCACGATGGGTTTTCCCTCTGAAACTCTGTGTTGTGAGTTCTTACTACCGAAATAGCAAATGTAATACCACAAAGACCCACTCGTGAACGAGGTCCTCTTCCCTTTGTTGCCCACCTCTTGGAAGCCTGCATTAACAACTGGGTATATATTCTACCTCAGGCTCCTCAGAACGTCAACAAATAGAGGCTTGTCTTTTAAGTTTTTTCTTTTTCTTTTTTTTTTTTTTAAAGATTTTATTTATTTATTTGAGAGAGAATGAGAGCACGAGAGGGAAGAGGGTCAGAGGGAGAAGCCGACTCCCCGCTGAGCAGGGAGCCCGATGTGGGACTCGATCCCGGGACTCCAGGATCATGACCTGAGCTGAAGGCAGTCGCTTAACCAACTGAGCCACCCAGGCGCCCTTTTTTTTTCTTTTAAACAAAAATGAGACCATTCTACACAACTCATCCTTCAAAGTTGCCTCTTTCACTTATGGACAGGTCCTCTAGGTTAGGAGGTAAACATTCTTTCCAGTAGCCACTGGAGGGTAAGTCCCCGCTGGGGATAAAGCAGGGCCGCCAACACGGAAAGGCCCTGCTCTCTTAGCACCTCCGTTCTGATAGACCAGCATGGTGTAGACTGGTAGTGATTGGTGCTTCGGAGGGGATGGAGAGGGACAGGCTGCATGGAGGTGGGACCACCCTTGAACTGGAATGAGGGCGCAGTCCTGGCCTGGATCCAAGTGTGGGCGCATGTGCAGCGGCCCTGAGGCCAAGGTGCATTTCACCTGACTTGAGAGGGAAGGTGGGAGCTGTGGGGTCACATTCAGCAGGTGTGGGATGGGCCCACATCTGGTTTGAAGGCTCCACAGGAGTTTCAGATGTGTGATCAGGTTTAAGGACCACTGGGCCATGGTGTTAGAAATGGCCCACCTGGATTTATTTTTTTTACTTTATTTTTAAAGATTTTATTTAGTAGAGAGGGAGTGCGTGCGTGTGCGCACATAAACGGGGAGCAGCAGGCAGAGAGAGAAGCAGACTTCCCTCTGAGCAGGGAGCCTGATGCAGGGCTCAATCTCAGGACTCTGGGATCATGACCTGAGCCGAAGGCAGATGCTTAACCACCTGAGCCACCCAGGCTCCCCCAACACACCCGGATTTATGAAAAGACTTCAAGTTGGTATTAGAGATGTTAAAATAGTCTCCTCTGGCTCAGAAGTAGGTACGTCCAAATCTACCAGTTTCAAAATAATTGGATACGACAGCTTTTTCAACAGATTTCTTTTCCTTGAGAAGTACTCTACTGAATGCTGGGTCTTTGGAAAATAGAGATGAGGAGCCAAACTCTGAACAAAGTTGCCATGTGGTTAAACAACTTGGTGTCTCAAGTTTGCTCTGATTCGTGGAACTAAGCATTCTATTGAATGTCTTAAAAACCCGTGATTTTTGCTGTGTTTTTTGTTCTGTTTAGTCCAAAGCATCACAAGGTGGCAATCCTGAACAGGATGAAGCCTCAAGAAAGCATAAGAAAAAGAAAGAAAAGTCTAAATCAAAATATGAAGTCTTGACCGTTCAGGAACCACCAAGGATTGAAGTACATTTCTATTTATTACTCGCCTTTTATGATATAATTAAATGGGTCTGCCCTAATAGAAATATAGATTCATATGGGCTTCCTAAGTGAAAATCTCCAACATTCCCTTCGATAATCTTTGCCCAGTGCTAAAGAGAATAGCCGTCTCCCATACTCTTCGCTTTGGCGGCCCAGCGCAGTGGCTGAGTCATAGTGGGCACCCGGCGAGCGGGTGCGTGCGTGAGGAGTCGAGAGGGGTACTTGTGTGAAGATCTAGTGGTGTGCCTACCGTAGTGCTCATACTTACTCCTCAGTACCTTGTTCACCTGTTTTTCCTTGCTTTGGCATGCTGGCTTTTGCAGGGTCTCCTTTTCTATCCAGAAATGTGAATGTAATGTACTTCATTCTAGAGAGAAATTAGAATCCCATAGCTCCATCATGGGCCCTAACCAGGAGAATTGCACAAACTTGCAAAAGCACCCTGTGAACTGTTTTCCTGTGGTACTGCAAGATAGCCCCTGTCCTGCAAGGAGTCGCCTTGGGTTCAGACTCAATACCAGACTCAGCAGCCTGGCTCCGGGTGCTCAGCTCTGCTGCGTGCCATCCAGCTTAGGGCCAAACCTGAGAGTTTCCCACAAACCTGGGGGCTCCCAGGGCTCTTGGCATACTCCCTTGAGGACACTAGGGTTGCGTGTGTGAAGACGTACAATCCTGGCAGAACATTATGGTTTGGGCCAACAAATAATTCATAGAGTTCTGCTCCCATATCCCACATAACTTCTCTGAGTCGCCTAAAATGCCAACAAAAGCATGTAAGATGTTTCTAAATGACTTCAGCATCGTCATTAGAGGCCTGTTGCCCTATTTTCTATTTTATTTCTATTTTCTAACCTGGGAGCAGCACACAGGACAGGGTACTTCCATCACCTGAGTCTAGACTGACAATTATTCTGACGGAAACAGTTGAAGGCTGGGTGCTTGAACACGCTTGTGCCCGGGGGTCTGGGGCACCCACGTCCTCGGGGGCTCGCCCACCTGGGCCAGGGCAGCGGGATTAGAACTGTGGTCTTTAAATCTAAGAGTAAAACAGTTTGGGGGCTGTTTTAGATCCCCTTGCAAACTCTGTGGGAGCCTGTTACAGAGAACACGGGCAAGGAACAGCTTGCACGTGGCACACTTGACTCTTGTGATCTGCAAAGAGCTAAAGGGTGTGTGGTTTACTTAGGATGCCGAGGAGTTCCCCATTCTGGCAGTTGCGTCTGAAAGAAGAGACAGAGTAGCATCTCCGAACTTTCAGTCCCAGCAGCAGCCGCAGGTAATTTTTAGATTGACCCTGTTGTTGCTTTAGGCCTAACTTTTCTTGCTCAACTAAACTCTCTAGAGAAACTCTTTTCCAGACTTCTTTATGTACCAAGAAAGGTGGTTTTGGTTTGATTTCTTCCTTTATTGGAGAATCACATGCAGGGTGTTGGAATACAGTTGCTCTAAGTGCACACATTTGTCACCTTCATAAGAAGACTGGTGGTAGCTACCACTGCTACATCAGAAAGCAGGGAGCACGGCCTGCCTGGGGGTCTTTGATGGAAAGCGAAAAAGTTACCTGTGTATTTGGGAAACAGGACTTCCTTTTTTTTTTTTTTTTAAGATTTTATTTATTTATTTGAGAGAGAGAAAATGAGAGCATGAGAGGGAAGAGGGTCAGAGGGAGAAGCAGACCCCCCGCTGAGCAGAGAGCCCGATGCGGGACTCGATCCCGGAAGTCCGGGATCATGACCTGAGCCGAAGGCAGTCGCTTAACCAACTGAGCCACCCAGGCGCCCAGGGAAACAGGAATTCCTTTGTGAGGCAGCAGTGTCTGACAAAACAAAATAAGGAGACCCCCCCCCCCCCCGCCAAATTCAACTCTAAGTGGTCAGTACAAGGTGAAGGGAGGACTCTCCTTGAGCCCCCTGCCCTGCTGTGGATTCATCATCCAGGTGGAGAACTTGCACACTTGGTCCCATTTCTTCACAGGTCTCCGGCATCCTCACTGCCATTTTGCCTTCTCAAGTGGGGGCATTATTTTCACATTTGTGAGAAGTAAAATTCTAAACGTTGTGCAGATTCCCTGGAATTCCCGTGGTACAGTGTGGTCCTCTTCCGTCCCTGCCCATGGAGTCTCTAGCCGCCTGTGTGGCATGCTGGGCTCGCCCGTTGACGGGGCCCTCTGCCGGGCCGGAGGGCAGAGTGGATGTGCTGAGCGCATGCATGCGGCAGCTTGCCTCTGCAGCTTTTCACACGGCCTCAGACCCCAGAAAACAGCTCTTTGAAGTAGAGCACACTTCGTGCCTAAATTTCATACCTGCTGTGGGCATTTTGGACTTGTGTAAATTCTTGGTCATATGCCCATGATTTCATGGCATTCAATTGGCTCCTGTAGGCAGTTGGAGGTTGTGTGGTGCCAAGGAGACAGTGACACCGATCAGTTAGCCTCACGCACGGACTCCTGTTGCCAAAGACTCCACACAAGTCCTGGTTTCTTACCTGAAGGCGTGTGCGTTTCCTCACAGTGCAGATGCAGAGAGAAACCCAGGGCTAGGAGAGAAGGAGGAAATAAAAAACCACGGCAGTCACATTGGAAGATAATGTGGGATTATCTGGGTCTGTCTTTCTTTCTTTCTTTCTTTTTTTTTTAAAGATTTTTTTATTTATTTGACAGAGAGATAGCGAGAGCAGGAACACAAGCAGGGGGAGTGGGAGAAGGAGAAGCAGGCCTCCCGCAGAGCAGGGAGCCCGATGTGGGGCTCGATCCCAGGACCCTGGGATCACGACCTGAGCCGAAGGCAGACGCTTAACGACTGAGCCACCCAGGCGTCCCAAGGCAAGTAACTTTTAAGGAACAACTTTTAAGATAGAAAATCACACTATACTGTTTTTCTA